GAAAGTACAGGTTTGTGATAAAAAAACTTATTACTTTATCCACGCAAACAATCGCTTCAAAAATTTCGTTATTAGCCCCAAAACATACCATTTATGTTATTGGGCCCGTGCATAGCACAGGCAACAAAATCTAGTCTTAATATACAAATAAGTTATATATTTTCTATATATTACTTGTATGTCCAATGGATCACTGGACATAAAATGAAATACACATAATATACAAAATATATACAACCACATTGTAGGCAATTTATATGTTTTGACTGAATTCTATAAAGCAAAAAGTTGTATGCACAAGTTGTGTCATTGTTGGATTGTACATAATTTGTTTTTTTTTTAAAAAGAAAAAGAAAAGCTCTCGCTACCTTTTGAAAAGTATATCCTATACTTAAATTGGGTAAATATTTGTATAATTTTGCATGCCTAGGTAAATCCTCTTTAGAATGGCTATGTGCCAATTTAATCCAATTACTATCGATGGTAACTTACACAAATTCTATTACTTTAGAAGCTAGATACTTAGACTTACGTTAGTTTTAATATCACGCTCTTCATCATACTTTGGGCATCAGATATCTATATCTGCCTCTTCCGGATATATGTATCTGAGATACCTGTAAGACAAATACATATCAATTAGTGTGTCTAATTAAGGAATGTAACTGAAAGTCATTAATTGGAGAGTGTGTATAATTCAAAGTCATTAATCAAAAAGAAAATCACGTTCGTAACAACTTTAGAGGATACTCCCTCTGTTTCAAAAAGATTGATCTGGTTTGACTTGACACAAAGTTTAAGAAATTAAAGAAGACTTTTAAATCTTGTGGCCCTAAATTAAAGTTATGTCAAATGTACAAAATTGCCCTTAATCTTGTGGTCTTAAAACATGCCACGTGGAAAGCAAAAAGTAAAATGTTACCAAAAAAGGAAAGAGGTCATTTTTTTGAAACTGACTAAAAAGGAAAGGAGATCATTCTTTGTGAAACGGAGGGAGTATGAGATATCACAACTCCTAAAAACACAATCACAACAATTAAAATCTTTCTCTTTTGGTGATTCAATAAAGTTTAGACTTCTTAACGCAAATTCATGAACTCTTATTCATATATATATGTGTGTGTATTATTTTGTCAGATACATATACACTTAATTAGATATAATGATACAAACTAGATACAGATAGTGTTAACTCAATAGTATGTCAGAGACATCAATAATGTGTTAATACATGCATAAATCTCTTATACATGCGTATATTTTGTCAGATACATTTACACTTAAACAAATTCACTGTTAAAAACTAGATACATATATTTTTAACTCAATAATGTGTCAAATACATCAATAATGCGTCAGATACATCAATAATGTGTTAGATACATGTGTAAATCTCTGATTATTGAAACTTTCCGGTTATGTTCCTGGCTGGTCTGATATCTAACCAAAGTGGTGTTTGCTTTATCTAGGGATGCTCACGATTTGGATAAAAATCAATCATAACCAGAAAACCAAACCCAAACTAATTTTATTTGGGTTTAGTTTGATTTGGTTTTAGATTTAAAAATTGATAATATTTGGTTTTGTTCAAAAAATCGAAGAGATAACCGAACCGATAAATAATATACATATATTTTATTATTATACATACATAATATATTATTTTTATAATTTTTTAATATATATATATATATATATATATATACACACACATATACACACACATACATATTGAGAAAATGGCCAAAAGCCCCTCTAACCTATTGTCGGATTCTCAACTACATACTCATATTTTACGGGGGTCCTATCACCTTCTTAAACTGTTTAAAAATAAAATTATTATCTCCCTAATTGCTTATCTGGAAAAGTGAGTGTATTTCGCTCTCCTTGAGAGAGTGACAACAAAAATAAATATTACTAAAAATTTATTTTTAATTATTTTCATAAACATATGTATTTTAATTTTTTTCTTATTTATTTTCTTTCTTCCCCAAAACAATATGGACCTCCACCATTCACCAACCTTAAGCAACCATCGTCAGTCATCATCGCAATTAGATTCATCATTGTTAATTTCAAGCTCTCATGCAAAATACTTGCAAAATCAATTAAATCCACTACAAATAAAATGTCAACTATCTTCAATCACCCCAAAAAACTTCAAATCGAATTTGAGAAAAATCAATTTGGGTTCACATCAAATGTAATTGAACCCCCAAAATGTTATTATCAATTTCAAATCTCTTGATTATGAAAAAAGAAGAAGCACAACACAAATTTGCAAGACGTTGCACTGAGCTATGAATGTGGGTAAACCATTCCAAGTCTAATTAAAGAAAAAGAAAATCCTTTGCTGCTGCGGGTGTCAAAATGTAGGTGAATTGAACCAGGAAAATTAAAGATTATGTTGATTTGGTTACAATATTTATAAAATACTCCCAAGCACACCATCCACAATCATTAGCCCGAGCATCTTCTCCCAATTAAATTCTTTTTATCTTTGGTGGTGGATTCAAATTGATTTGTGATGGTTTTGATAGTGGTTTGAATATTTCTTTTTCGAAGCTTTATTCTTAGGAAGAGATGGTAAAGAGCTTTTGAACAAGTGAAGAAGGTAACAGTGAAGGCGGGGGAGATTATAAAGACAGAGGTGGTAGTGGTGGGTGGAAGAGGGGTTGGGGG